ACAATTTCGCTTATTAAAACTGCACATTAAAAGCTTCAAAATATAATATTTTGGGCTCAAACTACTAACAAAATAAAGAGAAAAGTGAGACGAATCCACTGGTATACGGCCGAAAAAGAGAAAACCAACAATACGAAAGTTATCAAGGTCAAATGTATTGCACTTTAAATTAGTTTAATAATTTTGAGCGATTTGTGAACAATACAATTTCGCTTGTCTTTCAAAGGCCATAAATCGCTAGAATACTTTAGTTTAGTAATACATTTGACATCTGTGAGTATAATTTCTTACACTGAATCGAACGGTGGTAGTTTTGTCCTTATTGGGCGCATAAAACCAGAGATAAGACGCAGCAAAAAGTCAATCGTGAGAGTTCGAGTTGTAATTCGAAAGAAAACTTTCCTCGAAAAAAGGAATTCGGAAAACGTGAAGGATTATTTTGAGCGGCTTTTGTCTTTCAAAGGCGACAAAATGGACAAATAGCTAGAATAGAAGTCAATTTTGAAATCATTTTCCATCCGTAAACACAACTTTTCACGCTGATTTGAACAGTGGTATTTTTGTCCTTGTTTAATGCATAAAACCAGAGATAAAGCTGAGCAAACAGTCGATCATCATGAGAGTACACGATTAATAATAATTAATAAATTCCGAGCACGTGCAAGGAATTTTTGGTACGCGATTAAGGAAACGTTTGATGCGAACAAACTAACAAACAAACGGACAAACTAACAAACTAACAAACTCACAGACAGAATATAATGCGGTGCCAAAAATGGCACGGGCACCGCAATCCCTATCCCTAACCTCCTAACCAATCATATTTCGTGACTGCGTGATATAAAAATGTAACCGCCGAAATTTGTTCGGCACGGGCAGGTTTATGTGTGCGTTTTCTCTTTTCAAGATTAAGGGAATATTATAGAGAATGTTTTAGCTTCAATTTAAGCGTTAGTTTGTTGGTTTGCGCATAGTATGTTGGCGGCTAAAATGTTCGTAATCCAAACAAGAAATTATATACTAAAATGCGTAAATTCTTTAGTACTTTTTACCGAAATGGCATGTGATAAAAACCAAACATGCTTGCAGGTTCGGTGAGTCCAGGATTGGACGCATCGCGGGTGGCTGGAAGTTCCCTGCAAGTATGTTTGTTATAAAACTGCCCGGCTGATTATGATGTACTGTTATTGAAAATGATCATGCCTTATGGTTACAAATATTAGTACGACAAAATGTTCTTTCTTTCAACTCCTTTCTTTCAACTCCTTTCTTTCAACTCCTTTCTTTCAAAACGCTTAGAAGGTTGAAAAAATTGGACGAACTTTAAACGTCAAACACAGTAATCACGTGTAACTTGATCCTTGTGCGTCGATCCGGCTGAAGGAATGGTAATTAGACACATAAAACAGACCATAGAAATAAAATGCCGTTTGCCAAGGTTAGTGAGGCGGATATGTGTAAAATTATTGATCAGTAGTTCCCGTTGAGGTTAAAAGCATCAAACGTTTACAATTGATGTAGTTTTATTTGCTTAATAGATATTTGAAGTGGGACCATCGCTATTTTGCTGCCAACTCCTGAAAACGGGTGATTAGTGATTATCTTCTATTGAATTCTATTATAGCCAAAAAATGTGAAATTTTGTATTCAATTACAACAAATATGACTTGCATCATCAGAAAGCTTATAAAATACTGCATATAAGACGTTTAGACAGTTTTTTGATTTCTGAAATAGTTTTTTTCACATTTTGTTGTAGTAGAATTTACTATAGCAAATAATGCTAATAGTATCGTAACTCTCTAAAAAAAAAACAGTTTCACGATGGCCCCACTTTTGCATGTTGTTCTACTCATAAAAAGATGCTACTGTGCACAATTTGGTGCTTTTAACCTAGACTGCGAGCAATCCCTTTTTGCCATTTTCCCGCGCGTTCAATCTTAGTCCGGGAAACAATAAAACGAAGGAAAATAGAGGGATTGCTCGCAGTCTACTTTTAACCCTCTTCGGAAATATCCATGCACATATCCGCCACACTAGGTGTTGACCCAAGCGAATAATAATTCTTACAGAAAGCAACGCAACCTTTGAATCCTCACCAACAGGTGGGAAATTTGTCGTCGCTGACCAAAAAATTGCGGGCAGAAACAAAGCTCATTGCATTTACATTCAAAACAAAGCAGAAAGTTAGCAAGAAGCTGTTTTAGCTGACGATTTTTTGCTTTCCATTCAACGATTTGCAAATTATTGGTTATTCTTTTAAAAGTCGATCATGAATTCTTTGTTTTGGGATGATTGTTTTGTAATCGAGTGATTGGAAGAAGTTAATATGGCGACGTGAACATGGGAGTAAATACCGTATACGTCGATCTATGACTTGTTTAAAACCGTAATAAACGAAGAAAGACGTGATTTGAGAATGAAATGTAAGTTGAAATTAACTTTATATGCCTCAAATTTTCCATCCTATGTTTCGTAATGTAACTTCGGCTGTCTAAGTTCAAAATACAAGCTCGCGAAATTTGACAAAATTTGAAAATATGTAAAAATAGCTTGACTTTGAACTGTAGTTTCTCAAAAATAGATCGTGGCCTCAATTTCAAATATAGCTAAATGAAAAGAAAAAACTTTTCGGCGTTTGTAGGTATCAAACATATCGTCAGGAAAATAGGGGCTCACAATGTTTTAGTTCAGTCTTTGAGACCCAGTTGCTTCGCACGTGTTGTGGTCAAATTTTTGCCAAGAATCAAAGGCCGAAATGTGAATTTCATTCATGAAAATCGCTTCGAGAAGGGTCTAGTTTGAAAATTTAGCTATTAATTTCGATTTCATGAGCATATTTTGGTTACACGTTAAGTATTTTTGTGCTTGATGAGATTCAAAATTTGTTGTATATTCAAGCCCGGCTTTTGTGTAATTTTGGTGATGACTGGAACAGAAATAAAGATATTTTAAAAACTGGCCGTGGCCTCACGATAAAACTTTCTACAAATGTTCTCTGTTTCATGTACTTTTATTTGATATCTTAGGTATAAGCGTAAATATAGGGGCTCATACAGTTTAAGAGGTTGTAAAATGCATGACTTGCCTCTATTTTCATGTAAACATTCGAAATTCTTCGACAGCAAAGTAGCAACTGTTTCAGATCGAATGCACACGGACAGCCCACCAGAGACAATGGCAGGGTACTGAAATAGATCGTCACTAAAAAATTCTGTATGATTAATTTAGATCATGTCTACTCTTTCAACATAAAACAGTCATTTATTTTGTACAAACATTTGGCAATATTTACACGATTGTGCCTTTTTGTAAACACGCGTTGCGTGTATTCCACGCAACTGCGTGGCTCATTTTACTCGCGCATGCTCAGACAAATTTCCCACCTGTTATCCTCACCTTTTAAACTTGCGCAGCTATGGCATTACGCCAATAATTCACTTGCCTTTTAGAAAATAAAATTTGAACCCTCAGCTTTTGAACTTGTTGCCTTTTACTGTAACATATAAACTAATAGCTTGATAAATTGATAGCTTTAACAACTTATGTTAATAAACTAATAAATTGATAGCTTTAACAATTTATGCTTGACCTAAAATTTATACAAAACGACCATATTAGGAATGCAAATATACATTTAAATGATGTCGCTCGAACCACAGGCGGCCGATTAAATGCTGTTAATTTACATAAATACTGCAGTAATTACTAAAATTGTTAAAGAAAGTCAGAACATCTCCAATTAGTGAATTGTCATATTGCACGGACAGCGATATATTATTTATATATACGTCATATCGCTGTCCGTGCAATGAGTCGCGCGTAAGTGATTATCTTTAATAGTTTAATTGCATTTAATGCGGTCTTTCATTAACTACAAGTCTACAATTAGCTAATTTGAGATGTTCTGACTTTCTTTAACAATTTTTACTGCAGTAGGTATGTAAATTAACAACATTGAATGGGCTGCCAATGCTCAAACAATACCTCTTTCATTTACAATCGATCGTTTACGCAACGATAAAAACAACCACTATAACCTTTCAAATTGCTTTCTATGTCTTCAAGTTGAAATACCGGTTTCACTCACATTTTTATCTTTTCACTGCCTCAGTGTAATCCACGATCCAGAGACGAGGGTAAAGAGACCGAACCTCGTGTATATATACCCGTCACGATACCTGAAGCAGTTACCATGACGACCCGCACGTTTTGAAAAACAGCGGGATCTGCAAACTGAGTTTGCAACTTCAGGAAGCGAGCAACGCTAATCGCATTATTAATTACCGCTATAAGATGTCATCAATCCAGGTTCAGTTGCTTAGACGCAGTGTGAAACCAAGCAAGTAATAAGTTAATTTTCTGTTATGCATTAAAATAAAAGTGTACAAATATGTCACAATGCTGACTGTTGACAAGTCACCTAGGGCCAGGCTATACTATATAGCGTACAATGTGTAATAAGGCTGCGTATAATATGTAATAATATTAAGACTTGTGTGTTGTAAAACAAAACGTTCTTGGTATCTTAGAGAATAGCACGATAATTCCATGTCAAGACCGCGGAACATATTTGCCGTTTTAGATCTTGGCAGTATAAAAAGTCCGGCTTCAAAGGCGTAAGTTTTCTATGGCTAATAATAAAGAAACTGACTTATAAAGTTATATAATTATACCGCCTTTCCCTATAGGCCCTAGTGCGCACATGAATCTGGTACAAACGTTTTCACCAACGTATATATCAAATGTATATATTATTCCAAAAACAATAGCTGCATTGACACCATTGTCTTATAGCTAATCTACGGAATCTACGCCCGCGCCTGCGTTGTGAGGCAAAGAATAATATAAGACTCCTTTTAAGCTTCCACTGGTTAAGAAAAGATGGGACATCTTCATAACCTATCAGCAAAAGATGGGACATCTTTCTGACACAAGAGTTTCCACTAAAAGTATTCTAGATATTATTCCCAAACCTAGCGCTATCGCTGCATGCATCCATGCACCGTTTTACTCTAACTTAGCGTGATGTAAAGAATAATATAAGACTCCTTTTAAGCTTCCACTGGTTAAGAAAAGATGGGACATCTTCATAACCTGTCAGCAAAAGATGGGACATCTTTCTGACACAAGAGTTTTCACTAAAAGTATTCTAGATATTATTCCAAAACCTATAGCGCAAGCTGCATCGCCTTACTCTAACTTAGCCTGATGTAAAGAATAATATAAGGCTCCTTTTAAGCTTCCACTGGTTAAGAAAAGATGGGACATCTTCATAACCTGTCAGCAAAAGATGGGACATCTTTCTGACACAAGAGTTTTCACTAAAAGTATTCTAGATATTATTCCAAAACATATAGCGCAAGCTGCATCGCCTTACTCTAACTTAGCCTGATGTAAAGAATAATATAAGACTCCTTTTAAGCTTCCACTGGTTAAGAAAAGATGGGACATCTTCATAACCTGTCAGCAAAAGATGCGACATCTTTCTGACACAAGAGTTTTCACTAAAAGTATTCTGGATATTATTCCAAAACCTAGAGCTATCGCTGCATGCGCCGCTTTACTCTAACTTAGCGTGATCTAAAGAATAACATTATAGACTCTTTTTAAGCTTCCGCTGGTTAAGAAAAGATGGGACATCTTCATAACCTGTCAGCAAAAGATGGGACATCTTTCTGACACAAGAGTTCTCACTAAAAGTATTCTAGATATTATTCCAAAACCTATAGCGCAAGCTGCATCGCCTTACTCTAACTTAGCCTGATGTAAAGAATAATATAAGACTCCTTTTAAGCTTCCACTGGTTAAGAAAAGATGGGGCATCTTCATAACCTGTCAGCAAAAGATGGGACATCTTTCTGACACAAGAGTTTTCACTAAAAGTATTCTGGATATTATTCCAAAACCTAGCGCTATCGCTGCATGCGCCGCTTTACTCTAACTTAGCGTTGTGTAAAGAATAATATTATAGTCTCCTTTTAAGCTTCCACTGGTTAAGAAAAGATGGGACATCTTCATAACCTGTCAGCAAAAGATGGGACATCTTTCTGACACAAGAGTTTTCACTAAAAGTATTCTAGATATTATTCCAAAACCTAGCGCTGTCGATGTGGCATACTCCCAATTTGATATTTTAACTATACTCTATATAGTATAGCCACAAAAATATTGGATATTGTCAAATCTGAAAGCCAGGGGTACGGCTCATCTCCGCGTTTACTCATCACTAGCTTGCCCGGGAAATAATTTGGCGATGCCCAGCGTAATGTCTAATGAGAATGATATCAAATTTAGTTCAATGGGCCATTTTAGACTAATTTTCGATTCTTTTGAAAATGCTTACGCAAGTTTAATTTGAACGTTGATATCTCAGTCAATATTTCGTGATATCTCATGTATAACCTATCAAAACTTAAGTTAGCCTTTTATGAATACAGCTACATTTATTTGAGCGATGTATAGCTCTTATAGTTTTTTCGCTATGGTAGATCAAACGCCTGAACTTTTTTTGCGCCACCCGGTATATATATGTAAATAAATATTATTTGTCTTGAGCTACCTTGTATCAAAATATAGAAATGAGTATATTAAATAACGAATATA